CTCCCCACGTCCCCTCCCCACTTCCCTCCCGACCTCCTCACAGACCCGATAACCCGCTTACACACTTCGTGACTGCTGTCCTCCCCGAAGTCAGGGTCCTTCCATGGTTTTGTCCACTGTCCTCTCCCCAGGGCCCAGAACAGACTTTGGCACCTGGTAGGTGCTCGATAAACATTTGTGGAATGAAGGTGGGCACTCCCAGGCACGTGCCCAGACATGGAAATACACAGGCCCGCCTGACACACCCACTAGTTCAGTGTGCCCTCACACACGTGCAAATGGACACCCCGACCTCACAGTGGACAGTCCCCTCTGCACGGAGCGGGGACTCTCACTACAATAGACATAGTCACGAAAACCTACGCACTCAGGCTCACTCCTGCACATGTGCTCTCTCTCTGGCCAGGACCCCTCCCTTGCCCCCCACCACTGGGCCAGGCACCAGGCCTCCCTAGGTCCCACTGCAGAAGGAGGGCTGTCCTGACCAGGGTTGTTGGTGGGGGACACCCATGTCTCTCTCCACCCCACCCCCACTCCTGGCCTCTCCCACCCATCACTTTCCTCCACTCCCTTGAAGGTGACTCTCCAGAACCATCCTGCTGCAGAATGCCCGTCACCACCTTGTCAGAGCTGTCCCCCCTTCCCCGGACCAGATGCCAGCTGCCTCCCAGGGCTGTGCCTGGCTGCCACTCACCAGCATAAGGACACAGTGAGGGACCATCTCTGTGAAGGGCAGACAGCGTGTTGGGTGGAGAAGTATCAGGAGACCTGGGCTCCAGGCTGCCTGCTCTGTGCCCTGGGCCCCAGTGCCCATCACCAATCCAGAAACCTGTTGGGACCTCAGCCCCCACCCTCACCCGCCCTCCCAGCCCTCTAGTGTTTCCAGAGCTGGGAGCCTCCAGAGATCTGCCCGCAGCAATATCAGGGTCCCCAGGGGCTGCAGGCTGAGCCCTGCCTGTGTCACCCACAGGGGAGCGCATCCTGGCCAGTGGCTCAGTCCAGCTGCCCCGCTTCACGCTCCTGGAGTCTGGCAGCCTGCTCATCAGCCCCACACACATCTCCGACGCAGGGACCTACACCTGTCTGGCCACCAACTCTCGGGGGGTCGACGAGGCCTCAGCAGACCTGGTCGTATGGGGTGAGTGTGCAGAGCCAAGGGCTTTACATGGCTGTGCATGCATGTGTGTGTCCCTGCAGGTGCTGATGACACAGGGCACGCACACCACCAGCCTCTCCACGTCCATGTGTCTGTCCCAGTCAGAGCTCTTCTTATCAGAAGGACAGTGACAAATTAACTCAGAGGCCAGGGACCAGAAAGACGAAGGTTCTGCTAACGATGCCCCCTGAGTGAGAGTTTTTCTATGCTTGACTGAGCTGAGAGGACATTGAGGTGACAGGAGAGCTATCTTCACGTACCTTAGGGTGGAGATCGGCAAGTCTTTTCTATAAATGGCCAGATAGAAAATATTTTAAGCTTTGTGGGCCAGACAGTCTCTGTCGCAATTATTCAACTAACTTCTGTTATATCAAGACAGCAGCCATAGATGATACGTAACCCGGTGGGTACGGCTGTGTTCCAGAAAAGCCACCTGCCAGATTTGGCCCCAAACTGTAGTCTACTGACCCCTGCTATAGGTGAACTTCTCAAGCTTCTTCCAACATGAGATCCAGTCCCCAGATACACGTGCCTGTGGGCCTGTCTAGGCGGAGCCTGGGGGCCTGGTGGGTGAAACCAGAAGGGCCTATTTTCATCCTGGTTGGACCCTAGACTGGAAACCAGGAGACCCTATTGCCATCCTGGTCTGACCACTGACATTCTGGGAATATAGTCCTGATCGTCCCCATCCCTTACATGGGTTCGTGAGAGCCAGTTAGATGAGCCCCCACTAGGAACTTTCCAGAATCAAAGTACCAGGGAAGCACTCTGCCCGTCACCAAGCCAGAAACCTGTCTGATCTCAGCACCCGCACCTCTATGCACCGTGTGGCCTTCATGAACTAAAGTACCAGAGAAGCGCTTTGTTCTTTTCAACTGCTCTGGGACTTTCACTACGGCAGACCTGTCCACCCACAGAGTTCAGACACACGGGCCCCGAATCACCTGAGGCGTGTGTCCCTCCCACACACCTGCAGCACATCTGTCATTCTGGAGCCCACGTCCCTCTCACCACGCTGTCTCCGCTGTATCTTTCAGCCCGGACCCGCATCACCAAGCCTCCCCAGGACCAGAGTGTCATCAAGGGCACCCAGGCCTCCATGGTGTGCGGAGTGACCCATGACCCCCGAGTGACTGTCAGGTATGCGTTCTGCTGTTGTCCCGACCCCAGGCAAGAGGGGAGGGGAAGCCTTTAGGGATAGCTCGTAGCTGGGCGAGCGTCAATACCGAGGAGGTAAGTGTCACCAGCGGGGCCAAGCCTCCTGGGGTGGGGGTGGGGGGACCATTTACAGAGCTGAGTGCAGGGCTGAGATGTAGCGGTGGCCAAAAGCGCACAAAAATGAAGGAAAGAGAAATGGAGGAGGGGGCAAGGGACACGGAAAGAAAAAGGCATTTAGATTGATGAGAGGCAGAAGGCACGGAGTTGCTGTCACTGTGGCCCCGGACATCACTGATAGCATCTCCCCAAGCCTTAACCCTCTGACCACTGAGTGGACAGCAGAGGGTCTGGGTGAACAGACACAGGAGCAGCCATACGGTGGGGGCAGGAGATGACCTCTCGGGGGGACCCTCCAAGAGAGGCATGTGAGGGGAAAGGCGCAAACTGAGGTCACCCCCACCATCCACCTTGGGGAAGGCGGGACCTTGGCAAGGGACTTGGCCCCCAGGGGACTCCATCTCACTCTGGAAGTCACTGGAGAGGCTGGAAGGAGCAGCCATGGACAGAAGCATCCAAGAAAGGTGGAAGAGCCGGGTCCCTTCCCAAGCTTGGGAAGAGGACACCTGGGCCCACCCCCCCGGAAAGGCTTCAGGAACTAAAATCAGGAGGAAAGCGTGCCTTTGTTCTTTCCCTTGAGCTCCAGAATGCTGAGGGAAAAATGTACCTGCTTCCTTAGAAGTAAATATTCCCTACGTGTTGCTTCTCTATTTTGTGAGCGATATCACTGTCAAAGCAACTGGCATGGAGGCTGGAAGGGGCCGGGCGCTCCTGCCACTTGGAGAAATGGCCTCGCGCAGCTCCAGGAGGCAGCTGTGTCCTGCAGCGTCATCTGGTGGCCACTGGGCATAGGGCAGTCTACGCGGCCACACCNGCTGTGTCCTGCAGCGTCATCTGGTGGCCACTGGGCATAGGGCAGTCTACGCGGCCACACCAAATGAGACCCGGGAGCCCTGGTTAGCATAAGGGGCTGAAGACTTTTGACAAACACCGATTCTCAGAAAATAAATCCTTGGCCCCAGTTTAACATTAACTATTGACCCTTTAGGACAGTCGTCATGTGGTATTAGCACAAATGCAAACATGAGCCTTGAAATCTCGTAGACTTAGTTAGAACATTGCCAACAGATAATCCGGAATTTGCTTATTCCTGGGCTTAATAGATTTTTCTAAAAAAAAAAAAAAAGAATATACCAACTGTAAAAGGTCCTCAGAGGGAACTCACATAGAATACTGCTGTGAGTCCCAGGCCCGCACATTATGTAGTTGCTATACTTTTAGCATCTATTAATTGAAAAACAATGTAATAAAAGACTATATTAATTCAGGAATACTTTACATGGTATTTCATTTATTAAAAAGTCACCTACTTATATTTGGGAAAGGCTTGTACATTTTACTCATTCTGCAGACAATTCTTTTTTTTTTTTTTTTCCTTTTTGTCTTTTTTCATGACCGGCAACGGATCGCAAC